ATATCTTTCAATTGACCCATCAGGATTCATTTTCACTTTATATACCATTTGGTAGGTAAAGCTCATCTTCCTTTTGGTAAATCGACCAACTCCCATGTATTATTTTCAACTAGGGAAGTGATTTCGGATAACATTGCCTCTAACCATTTATCTCTATCTGAATTTTTCATTGCGTCCTTATATGATAGCAGTTCACTAGGCTTATCATCGAGTTCATTTACTGCTGTCATTACATAATCACTAAAGCGCTGAGGTGGTACAATTTGTGATCTGTCTCTTAGTGACCGTATTGTGTGTTCATTACGAATGCTAGGCTCCATTTCATTATCAATGTGATCTTCTTGCTCAGCATCTTCTGAAACTCGGTTAGGCTCTTCAACATTACATTCGTGATTAGTGCCTGTCTCGGGCTGGTTAATTTCAGATTCAAATTCTACATGAATGATAGAGCTCTTTTCTGAATCCTTTTTATAATCAAAATATACTAATATATCTCTGGGACTACGTTGAACATTGTTTGAGTTCTTATTTACATTTTCTTTATACAAAAATCTGTTTGCAATACGTATATCTCTAGGAATAATAGTTTTATTTTTATTTGGGATATAAATCCTGAAAGCTTTAGAATGCTCTGAATATCCAACAAACATTCCGACTAGAGCTTTGGATGAAAATTTTTGTCCTTTTGGTCCTTTTTTAAGAACAATGTTTTTGAACCAAACTTATATAAGTGGTTGACACAGGGTTCACGTCCAACCCATAGCCTGAATGGTGTATTATTATTTAAGCTCTTGTTAAGACTTCTATTCGAAAGATAATTTGCGGTAAAAATAGCTTCCGCCCATAAACTCATAGGTGCATTCGATTCTATCATCATGCAGCGCGCTTTTTCTATTAGAGTTCGATTCTTTCTTTCAGCTATGCCATTTTGGTTTGGAGTATAAGGACATGACAATCTGCGTGATATACCATGACTTTTAAGGTAAGAATTAAAATTAGTATTTACATATTCGGTACCATTATCTGTTTGAAGAAATTTTATTTTATTTCCTGTATAGCTTTCAAATTCTTCTTTGTACTCTTTAAAAACCTCTAGCACATCTCTCTTCTTCTTTATAAAATACACTCGACAGTAACGACTAAAATCGTCTATGAAGGTAAAAATGTATTTATTCCCGTTAACTAATAGTTTGTATAGGACCACAAACATCGCTATGTACGATCTCAAGCCTTTGAGTCGTACGTGGTATTGTGGAGTCCTTTTTATTACAAGGAGTTCTGCAAATTTTTGCTTGAATACATATCTCACAATCAAGTTGATCTGCATCGTCAAAATTTAGGCCTTGTAAAGACTCGTTCCTCAAAGCGAGCTTCATATCTCTTTCATTCATGTGACCCAATTTAGAATGCCATTCTTGTATCGAATTATAACTTACTTGATTGCAGGTATTCTGTGTCTTTGCTATAGATTTGAGTGAGACTAAGTACAACCCATCTTTTTGTTTTTCGGCTTGTAGTATAAGACCTATTCCTTTATGAACAACTGTACCTTTTTTGTTGGTGAAATTTACTGTACATCTAGCTTCCGTCATTTTTCCAACTGATAGGAGATTTACATTCAGATCTGGTATGTAGAGTGTATCCTTCAAAGTGATTTTACCGTCAGGATTGGTTACGTTTAAAATTATTGATCCTTTTCCTTTTATTTCTGCTGTTGCGTCTTTGGAGGCAAGGCGGAGAGTTTGCAACGTCTTTGTCATTTCTGCGAACATTTCTCTATTATTCGACATATGTGCTGTGCATCCAGAATCTAATATCCACTCCATATCCTGTTTTTTTATTGTTATTCAACAACAGACATGTGGCGAAATTATTTTTATGTTTATTATTAGTACTGGATACCTGCCTCTCTCTATTGTAATCTTTGCCTTAATTTATTTTTTCCTTTTCCAGCAGTTTTTAGTTAGGTGTCCTTTCTTTATACAAAATTTGCAAAATGCGTAAAAGGATACTGTCTCGGATTCGGAAACATTTGCATCTACTTGTTTACGAGAATCATATTCTTCTATGATTTTTATTTTTAGGATTTCAAGTATTATTTTATTATTTCTCGACTCTATAGCAACTCGTAAAGTTTTCAAAATCAGCGGATAAACTATATAGCATAATAATAGATAGCAAATCACCATTTATTAAAATATCCATATCAGCTAATTTATCGACTGTATCCATAAATATATTAAGATGCTCTCGTACATCTCCACACTGCTTAGTTAAAATTAATTGTTTTAGTAAACTAGCTTTTCGTGCGGGACCTTTACTGGCATAAATTTCTTTCAGTTTTGTCGAAATATCATGTGCAGGCTTACAGTTTTTAATTTGCTTTATCTCCACATGGCGAAATCAATAAAATCAATTCTGTTTGATCCAATAGGTCCTCTTCTTTTACATCTTCATTGCTCATGCCCACGGATTTTTCAACAAATTACCATAGCTTGTTTTTTATGAGGTGACATATGCGTTTTTGGATACATTGTGTATGAAACGATGTTTCCAAAACTTCCCGTCCCGTCCCGTCCGGATTAAAATTCGTCACGTATGCAGCGGCCTTAAGTTTACCATCAGTCCATTCCGGACTGACGTAATTTCTGTCAGTCCGACCTATCAGTCCTTCAATCAACGCATTACACTGGGCCCAATTCTGGCGTGCCAACTTATATCTAAAAGTAACTAAAATATTTTGACTTTAAATGTAGCTATTTTAGACTTTAATGTATAATTTATTCCTTTCTTTTTAGTGGTTTTGTTTTTATGAAGCAGTTTTTGATATTTGTTAGAAATGTTTTTATTTACCACTTTTTAATAGCTAATCATATTTCTTAAAATAACTAAACACGAACTTACGTTTCTGCTGTTTGTCATTGAGAAGTTTGTTTTTATATATGCGAAAGTACTTGTCATCTTCACCAAATGAATTATTGGGATTTGGGACCATCTCGCAAAATAGGTTACGCATCTCACGTTATACAATAAATGAGAACAAAATCTTCACAAAACAGCCGAGGGGATAATAACAACCACTTATCGCAACCGCAATTTATAACCGTAGGTATTAGATAGATGCGCTGGATTGCGAATTTACGATGCGAGACATTTTCTAAGATGATTCACGTTAGACCGTGTCGGCCGTAGCAGAGTTAACTAATATAAAATAATATATTTTACATGGATTATGGACATATTCATGCTATTCCGGGCGGTAACCGACAGACAACCGAGCAACAAACGAACAACGCTCAGAAAAAAACTTGGTCTCGCCTCGGCCCCGCCACGGCCCGGTGCATGAACACAGCGCCGGCGCGGTGTCTGAAGTATCACTACGATTGCCGGGCAATCGTATTATTACTTCAGACAAAAAAAAACGATTTTGCTCGGACGAGTACATCAACCCTATTTACTTTATCTGTATGAGTAGACTGCATCACGGCACAATGGTACCTACCTAAATGCTCGGTCGAGGCACGTCTTTGTAAATGCAGGTGCGTTACCGGCTCGATGACCGTGCTACGGCTGAAGCTCGGCTGGGACTCGACGCAGTCTAGCGTGACTGATCATCCTTAATAGATTTGTTAGGTACCAAAATCTAGTTGGTACCTATATTTGCATTTTATTATAGAAGTGGTGGCTTTCCCCAACCATTTGCCAAAAAAAATACTTAGAGCATGCTCTAAGAAAAAATATGAATCCAAAGTTCTCCCCGTAGATTTAATTTCCCCAAGTTCATATTTTTCCCCAAAATAAGGATAAATACTCCCAATCTAGAAACCCTAAGTACCACAGAGTAGGCAAGTATTCACTCTTTACTGATTCATAATTTCTCATACAGTGAATTAACAAGCTTATGTTAAGTTTCCACATTTCAAAGATGATGAAGAACAACAAAGAATTACTGAAATAAGTCGAAATCACTGAATAATAAGTATTTATTGCTATTTTGAGTAAACCGATAATTACCGGTTCAATGCTTTTACCTTATCTGTGAATTCAATTTACATGCTCGTTTGCAGCTGTCAACTGTGATCTTAATTTAGTTAGTTCGCAATTTCAGAATACCAATTTACTAAACCTAAACTAAAATTAGCACTCTAATTTTAAGTTTAGGTTTAGAGAATGTAACGCCAGAATTGATCCCACTATCAGTCTAGCGTAGCTTGCTACATATATAGTGATCTGTGGTCTAGCGTCAGTCTTACCAGCTGATGGACCATAGAGAGAAGTAATACACTGTGATGGACTTAGGGATGTCGAAAGTTGAAAAAAATATCGATATATCGATACATCGATATTTTAAAAAATATCAATATCGGCTTCGATATATCGCAAAAAAACATTGATATATCGATATATCGGACCAATTTTCCCAAAAATATATTTAGGTCAGCCTAGCACAGTAATAATAGTTCCAATACAAATTATAATTAAATAAAGAATTATCAAAGTACCAAATTGCCGCTACACTACATGGCAGTACAGTATCTCACGAAATATGACACGCGGAATAATAATGGAACGAAAATTATCTAAAAATAGACCCTATTTCCGAATGATGAAAATGATTGCAGGGCCTCTCAGCTGCCATCTTTCGTAAACAAGACTAGACAGTTACACACTTCCACAGAATATAATGGAAATCAGCACAACTAATTCACCAGCGAAACAGATTTACAAATAATAGACAATACTAAATACAGCACAGATCATAGATATGTTGAATATCATTAATCTGAGATCCAGTTACGATTTTTCCAGATACAAATTTAGTAAGATCGTGATATGCCGCTAATAATTAAAAAAATATCGTTTTTGATACGAATTTCGATATTGGTTATTTTGTATCGATGTATCGATATATCGAATCAAAATATATCGACAAAAAAAATCGATATATCAAACAAAAAATATCGATATATCGATACATCGATATAATTTCAACAAGCCTAGATGGACTGAACTGATGCCAACTGATCTTTTAACCACTTCTTAGACCAAGAATTCATTTAACAAATTTAGACCAAGGATTCTAAGGTTTTCATAAGTTTAACTTTCATAGCGGAGATGCTACGCTACAGACACAAAAAAATAATAAATAAAGTTTCATTGAAGTAATCACTTTCAAATGGAACCTACACCAGAAGCATTACAGAGAAAATTATATTTTCTTCTTGAACAGTTACAGGAAATGGCCAGAGAATTACCACCGTAAGTACTATTCAAAATATATTCATTTGGTCGGTACACATTTAATTTCATTTTCTTGCTTTGCTAGATCAACAAAGGTTTTCTATTTAACATTTCGTGGGGAATTCATCATCATCATCAACCCATGTTCGTCCACTGCTGGACATAGGACGTGGGGAATTAAAACATTGAAATTATTGCCCATGTAAATATCTGAAATTTAAAGCTACTGTACTAATTAAATGTATGATTTTCAGTAAATACCAAATGCGAGTACCAATAGAACTTTTATCTGGGTTAGCAAATTGTCTCCTCAATGACACAGTTTTTGAAATAGTTAAAGGTTTAATGGAGATTCAACATGTGACAGAAAAACATTTATTTCAACAAAGATTACAAGTAATTAATAAACATACACGTAAGTATAATATTGTTCTGGTTACATTTAAGATGATAGAGCAGTTCTGCAAATTCAAACAAAAATAAAAGACTAATCCCACCAACTATGGCATTTGTTCCGATAAGGACCATGCCACTGCCAAACTTGCTACTTATTTCGCAGCAAACAACCTGTTGAATACCACAATTAAAGTAATTTTCCGTGCCCTATGTGCCAAGCCATAAATTTGCTGCAAGAAAAGATTTATATAGATATAATAATTCATATTTTGTTTTTTAATATTTCTTACACATACCAATTAGCCTAGCCCCAAAGTAAGCACTGTAAGGCTTGTGTTATGGGATACTAGGGTAACGGATAGAATACATATACAGTACATATATAAGTATATTTATATAGAAATACATATCCAACATCCTTGACTGGAGTACAAAGTACAAATGCTGCACTACTAAAATAATTGTCTTTTATTTTTCAAACTATTCCAATCCAGTCATAAAATAATTGATAAAAGCACATCATTAGTTGACAACTAAAGGAGTCAATGGCGTTTTGCGAATTTATCATAAATTTTCTTGTTTATCATAAATTTCTACAAAATAATTGAACACTTAGTTTACTATGAAAAGAAAATATAGGCAATAAGATGTTGTTTTGAAAATGAACCAATAACAAAAAGATTAAATTTTTTAATTGGGCTTACATAAGAGTAGGTGTAATCTATTGCAAAATTTTGACTCCTTAAGAAGCCAATGTCGCCTCAGCCAAGCCCACTCAATGTCACTTAAAGTTGTCAGTGGCGTTCAAAAGGTTGAAATGATATTTTGATTTCAATTTTTTTTATTATTGCTGGACTTTCAAAAACCCACCAATTACCTACTTTTATTTCAATAAAGAAGCAGTCAAAAATCATATATCCAATAGATTTTGGTAGTAAATATTGATACTCTAAGAAAAGTTTGCCCATCCCTCTTTAGTCTTCATTAATAACCACCATCACCTTCATAAATGTTTATTTATTTGTTATACTTTATTTCAGTGGAAATTCAAAACATGGTTAATAATACACCAAACTTGGAGCAGCAGGAGATCCAAAAGGCTATATTATGGACCAAGCATAAGGAAGAGTTAAAACAAACAGATATGAAATTAGTTATGCAACTAGATCAAAAAGTAATGATATACTGTTTACCTTTAGAAGTTGTATTATTTAGAAGAAGTAGTATTTTATTTGTTATACGTAGAAGGCACAGCTAGTTTACTACTTTGGCTGATGTTTGTAAGTGTAGTTACTAAAGATAATGAGGCACAAATAAATAAATATTTCCAACACTCACACCAATTAACCTAGCCCCAAAGTAAGCACTGTAGGCTTGTGTTATGGGATACTAGGGTAACGGATAGAATACATATACTGATACATAACTAAGTATATTTATATAGAAATACATATTAAACATCCATAACTGGAGTACAAATGCTCGTATTCATCACACTAACATCTGCCCTCACCAGGATTCGCACCCGGGACCTCTCGAGAAGGCGACACCTTGAAACCTGGCGTAAAAACCCCTCGACCACCGAGGTCGTCAAACAAAAGTGTGCACTCTATCACCTCGCCTAAATGCTGTATAAAGTAGATTATTGAAGATAACTTACCTAGACTGGAGTTCCAATTCAAATAGGAAATCCAACATCACATTCCACAGACTATTAATGTTTCCACTGCTGGTACACAGGCCTTCTCTATGGATGGAACAGGGAGACTGGGCTATGACCCACCACATGGGCCCAGTGTGGGTTGATGGGTGCTAACAACTGCAGATGCAGCCGGGATCAACGGCTTGTCTTCTTCCGAAACATGGAGGAAATCGATAGTAAATTTTTGGTTGACTTTCCAATGACCGACCATTGCAATAGCCGACATTCACGATCGCAGTCGAACGCGCTAACAACTTGCGCCATCGAGCTCCTATACAATAACTAAACAAAATCTCTTTAAAAAAAAACACTAGGCTTTTGAAGTATTTTTTAATCCTACATATTTGTTTATTATTTTACAGGTGAGCGACCAGCAAGTTACTTTAGAGAAAGCTGAAGTGCCAGGTTTTTATGTTACAAATAAACCAATAGAAGTGAAAGTGCAAATGTATCTTTTAGATTTTATATTAAGATTAAGTCAAATGGAAATACCACATAGATAAATAAATAAAAAACAATTTTCCTTTTCTGTGACTTATTGATTTCTACCGTCTATACATGCATACTATTTAATATGGTTTAGTTGACAAATGTCAGATTCTGGAAATGTCAGAAAAGTATAAAACGTCAGATTCTATGAATGCCTAGGAAAGATGCATATATAATATTTATGAAAATTTTATGATTAAAAAGTTAAAAAAATATAAAAGAAATGCCACTGCAACGTTTTTATTTTACATAATGTTGTTTTTTAACAATTATTACGAATTAAAAATACTTGAAACGGAACGTATTTTAAAACACCAATCAGCGTTTAGTGACGTCACTCCTGTTATGTCAACTTCTTTGAGGTTATGGTTGTTACAGTAAATATTATTTTATGGGATTATTTATTGCGTTTTTTTACATTTAATAAAAATGGAAGTTGTGTTTATCAAAGCAGACTCCAGGAGTTTATCAAGAGTTAGCGTTGACATGGTTATAACTTTTTTTGTCCAGAGTGCAGAGTTTTTAAGTGTAGAAATGAAAGTTTAACTTTAATTGTTAAACTTCGTATTTTATTCAGCGGCTTTTACAAATCTTACGGCGATAATGCAATCGGCTATGTCCAAATTAAAAGAGATGGAAAATTATGTACAGTAAAAGGTCGAGTTCTTCGGAGCATAAAGTACGTAAAGAAGGTTATCGTGTTACAGTTATTTTAAATGAAACGCAAAGCTTGGTTCAGTCCTGCCAATGTGAAGATTGTGCCACACATTTTAAACTTTATCTAATTTTCGACGACATTCTCCAACCGTAAAATTAAAAATATGTTATAGACAGTTTAAGTATTAGGTAGGTTACTAATGCGTTTTTACGTACAAGCAGATTAATTAAGCATATAACAAGTATATTCGCCGACTTACGTCAAAGTGATCTTCTCAGCATCGAATAATGGTCTTTGGAGAATAATTGTCATTTCTCTTCGCAGCTTGAAACCACTTTTTTTATTTTTTCAGTTTTGGGTCAGAAGTTCCAGTCAAAAACAATTTATTTGGGAACTTTGTTGAAGTAGATTGGCACAAAACATGAGTCAACACGGCTTTTCTTCGGAATATTAGTGGTATTGTTATGATCACATGATGTTGATGGATAGTCCAATTAAAATTTTTCAAAAAAATATTTCGAAAGTCGAAATAATATGCAAAAGTATGAAAATTTTAAGCCAGCAACGAACAATTACGACCAGTGAGACAGGAGTGACGTCATCGCAACCATAGGTTCGTTTACGCGCGAAAATTGAAATTGTCAATTTAAAACCGCATTTTTTCCGATAAATCACAATGTTTTAATTTTTTAATATATCTGTGGTTTATTCTACATGGAATTCTTTAAAATGAAAACAAAAATAAAAATATTGCATCTTCCCTAATGCGGCATAATGCTTAACGTTGAGTGTTCCAACTACAACAACGGTTCGCACAATTGAGCACTCTCAAAAGTAATATATACAAAGTTACTCTATGAGTAATGCTTTCATGTGATGCGTGCAATCGTACCAACTCAGAGATAGAAAATTAACAAGTGTTTTTTTTTTAAGTTGGCATTGATCGAAATGTTTTATTTATATGTTATCGTTAGTAATATTATTTATTGTTGGAAAAAATATTAAAACTTTCTTTTCATCATAGTTTTTTTTTAAATAATCAAAGTTAATTCAAACTGTGTTCAAAATTAAATATAAATATGGATGAAGGTACAAATATTGACTTTTTTTCCAACACTGAACTTAGCGCACTCTGCTGGTGCATTTGAAAACTAATTCACGTTCCAATTAAGCATCAGCATAATTCGGCATTGTGCGCCACTGAGTCTGCTCTGTAATTGGAAAACCACCTTAATCTACAAACTGCAGATTCTATAAATGACAAATTCAAGAAACGCCAGCTTCTGATAATGACAGATTTCATAACAATTGCAGAGTCAATAATTGGTTCTCAGCTCTACTGAAGAGAGATGAGTGATACATAGTGATGTAAAATGAAAAAAAACATGAAAATGAACTAAGATGTGTTTTTTTATAAATATGTTTTTTTTACAAGAAAACAATCTTTGAAAAATAATTGATTTTATTTAGGTATAAAGAAAATAATGCTACAAATATTCCACGGGGACCAGGCAGCAGACGGGATTCGAACCCGCACCCTTCGCTATCCGGACGAATGCACTGACCATTATGCTACCGCGGCCCTGATGGCCGTGTCGAATCCTTACTAGCCTTAAGCAGCAAGGCAGCGCCATTTCTTCACATTGTAGGTAACCCACAATGCCAAATAAATACCTTTACAAGTATTAAACATTTGCAAGAAGAAATAGCAATTGTAGTTTTATTATCGTCTTGTCCGCCTAATTAATTTAGGTATGTACCTAATAAGTATTTTTTAGAGATGCGCCGAATGTAGTTTCAACCGAATACGAATAATCATTTTGGTTCAATTCTGCAAACAGGTTTTTACACGTCGGTACAGCGCTCTGCAAGAACAGCGTATATAGATATATATTTAAACATAATTTAATTAGATACATATTTTAATACATAAGTTTATGTTGATTCCCAAAGATAGTAGTTATTAATGTTATTATATTATATTCTATAAAATATATTTTCTAAAAAAATGTTACTCAAAGCAATGTTCTTGACATTGTTAATTTCTTAAAAAAATAATATAAGTTGGACCATCTAATAATAAAATTAATTGGTTAGTTTATTTTACATCTCTAGTAATTAGTTAACCGTACTGTTTAATAAAATCTGTTTTTGTTATAATATTAACCATGGACGTATAAAAAAAGGCGGACAGAGTCCCGGTAAACAACAAACTGTGTCGCTCAGAGTCGGCCAGGTCGCTATACGTACAAGCCGGCACACACACATTCACACCATAGTCAGCCATTACGCGTGCAAACGTCAAAGCAGCCGACACGTTACGTGGAGATAAAAATAAGTTAAACAAGATGTCTTGCGTGGTAAAATGGAGTAAAAACCGTAGTGACCGAAAGAAAAAAATCCAGGAATCACGTTTCATAGGCAAATGAATTATTTAATCACTTTTTTCCAGTTTTTAGAAATCGAAATCAATTTTCACTCTAAGGACAAAATGATTAGTCTAAAGCCCAGTGTTGCCAATGTTCATGTAACCATATTACCTAAAATATGGGAAATTGGGTTGACATTAACTTCAATCTATTATTTATTATTCTTTTTTATCAGATTTAATAAAGAAAATGTAGTATGGAGAAATTACTGGAAAATGAATGATTTCCAAACAATTAAGTAGTAGTGTCATTTTTAGTCTTCATTTTGAAGCTCAAGACTTATATACAACTAAAGGAGGACCCCGGCGTGTTATTACGTATGCATTACCTCAAAAGGTTGATTAAATTTTTTAACCGATTTCGAAAAGAAAAAGGTTCGCAATGCGTCATATTTGTTTTTTTTTATTGTTGTTCGCGCAGATCTCCGAGATTCGTGGACCGTTTATGATGATTCTGTTTTTGTTTTAATCAGTTTACTAGCGTGATGGCTGCATATTAATTTACTGGAGATCTGAAGAGTACTTTCGGTAGAAAACAATGGGTCTCCTCAATTACAAACAGTACTCAATGGGTGTTAGTTTATTTTAAGAAATATGAAAGAGAATGTAGGCCAGGCCATCTATATTTAGTTGATTCACCCAATATTGAGAAAATTCGATACATTCTAGAATTTCTAATGAGTCCCGACTGTTAAAATAACTTTGTTCCTTATTAAACAGAATTCTCGACTACTGGACTTGTTTTTTTCTTTTTAGTACATTTTTTTTTATTTTCGACATTTTAATTTCATTATTTTTAATTACACGAGTTGTATATTTTCTAAATATTATTTTAAAACCCTTTACTTTGATACCTCGCTTGACGGGTTATAAAAATACTTATACTTTTTTTTCAAAATGTTTCATTTTGGCGCATAAAATCTGTTATTTTGATTTTTTGAAATTTTTATATACCGAGTGCCACTCACACAATCACGACAAATCAAATGACACCTCGCATGTCAAAATCCGTCAAGACGTTCAGGCTGTAGGGCGTGCCAAATTATTGGACATACATACATACATGCATACATACGCTCGAAAAACATTATCCTCCGCAGTCGGGCAAAAAGTAAAATTTTGAACAATCAAAATATTTTCATTTTTTTACTGTGTTTTATTGGTAAAAAATTGGCTAACCTAGCAACCCAACAATTCACTCACTCATCAATAGCCGCCGCCATTACGGTGCCTCAGTATTGTCTTAGCCGAAACTCTGTCCGCCTTTTTTTATACGTCCTTGATATTAACGATATTTTAAATATTAGGCGAATATTCGGCCGAATACGAACATGAAAAAAAATGCCGAATGTACCAAATACTAATATTCACCCGAACATTGGGCGCATCTCTAGATTTTTTGATATCATTATTTTGTGTATATATAATGAGTTTGTAGGTGGACCAATAGTTTACAAAAAATATAACAAAGATAAAATTTAATATAAATATAGATGAAAGCTTAATTTTGTCAAAAAGCTTTAAAAATAAACACACCTCTATTTTTTATAATAAGTATATTGAAGATAAAAGTTTTGCTGACGATGGAAAATAAATATAAAAATAACACAAAAACAACTTCGGTCTGCCTTCAATTAACAAAGGAATCAAAAGTTTTAATTTCACAATTTCTTTACAGATCTATACATCAAAAAATATCATAGGTACGATTTTAACACTAATTCTCGTTTTTTTCCTCTGAAAATTACAGACATCTTTTCCCATTAAGTCTAATAATAAAAAAAAACGAGAATATTTTTAATAAGTACCCTAGAAATATCAAAACTATATTTTTTTGTCATTTTTTATGTTGCAGAAGAAGAAACGTAAAAAGTATGCTCAAACAGATATGTCAAAGTATAAAATATTTTTATAAAACACTCATAATACCTATCAACTTT